TATAAAGCTGAAGAGTTTATTTGTTTAAACGCGCTAATCTCAGGAACTACTGGTCCGATTAGAAAAATTATTTCAGTGTTAGATAGCCCATTTATCGACGAAGGCTATATAACGTCACGCTAAGACCAATGAATTGATAACTTCCTCTTTTGAAGTCGGTTAAAAAGTGAGATTTTGGTACCTTAAATAACTCTTTAACATTCTATTATTCAAAAATACTTTCACTTTTTACGTAAATGGAGAGACGTAAAATTTAGCGTTATGCCAAAGTAACTATTCCACGCGGACGAAGTCGCGGACAAAAGCTAGTAAGTAATAAATTTGGTGGCTTTAACAACATTTACTAAAATTTTAGCAGGCTTCGTCCGATGATGTCACTTATGTTAATGTTGTAATGACGTCCCGGAAACCACGAAACCGCTACCGTAAAAGTGCGCATGGTTCGCATTACAAGTACCCTAGTTCCTTTAAAAATAAAACTAGGTGCGCTTCTCTGTTGCACTTGCGTCAATTTGCGCTAAAGTGTTCCTTGAAACCTTTCCAAAATATCAAAACGCCTTTCCGTCATTGCATGAAAAAATCATCCGAGATATGAACACGCATCACGTTTTTTAAAAGTACATATATGATCATTAAAAATACTTTTATTACGTCTCTTAATCTCGCGTTCTTTACTGTCATTATAATATTATTTCAAACGTTTAGAGTAAGCCGTAAAAGTATGTACGTAGTTTAATTAACATGTCCACAAGGCACGCAAAAACCAACGAAACTACTAATAGTCTAGTCAACAAGTTCAAAAACGTGTTAAATAGACATAAAGCTCCTAAAAATATGTACGATAGCTCATTGGATGCGGAATGATGTCTACAAAAATGTTTTTTAAGGGTTTATTAGCACATAAAAAATTGCGATTGTTATAAACAAAATAAGATTTTAAAAAAAAGGAATTTGGTTTTTCCTTAATAATTTCTAAAATAATGATATTTAAGGAATTTTGAAAAAAGATCCTGAAAGAGGAGGAAATTTCCAATAAAAAAGTCCCAACTCCCGGAATTCTATCTTTATTATTTATAAAAAAATTTAACGCTGAAAATAGCGCTCTGCGAGGTCGTTACGGCATATGCGCGCCGTCTAAAAAGCCGGTATATCACCTAAAATAATTTTTTTATAGTATTAAATAACAATTTAAAAATTTGAATAAATTATGGTGTAATCTAAACACTTGAACGAAAAAAACCTCGGTGAAAAAAATTTTTTATATCGATTTTTAAAAAATTTACACCATTGTTAATTAACTAACTTTTTTCCAATCTCTGTTTTTATAAATTACGGTATAACAGTTTCAATAATTCATCTATAAATTTTTCCCTTCGTGGAGCTCTTATCATTTAAGTTCTTAATAAAGTAATGCAAAAAAAATTTTTAATCTTTATTACTTTGATAATTATAATTTTTTTTAATTAACAAAAAATTAAATTTCTAAAAAATGTTATGAAAAATAGTTTTTTTCCGTAATATCTTAATATTGCTGTTTTTGCATCTAACATAGGTATTAATTAACATTTAAAAAAAAAAATTACGCTATTTGTTAAGAAATTGTTTATAAACAAATAGACTATTTTGGGATTTTTTAAAAAAAAAAAATTACCGTCTTATTGTATAGATGAATTAATGATTTTTAAAAAAAATTTTTTTTCTTAAATAGGTGTTTTAATTGTTTGAAATCGTTTTTTTTCATATTTCAATTGTTTAGAAAAGAAATTATTTTTTTCTTAAAAATCATCATTGTCTCTTTTCAGCGGATTAACAAAGAAATACATTTTTTTATGAATAATTTCATTATTTAACAATTATTTAACAAATTATAAGCTATGAAATTTCAAAAAATATCAAAAAAATCTTAATTTTTTATAAACAAATGCTTATAACTGATAAACAATAGTTACAGGATCAATTTTGAATTTATTTTAAAGATAAATAAATCCTTTATAAAAATGACCTGAGTGTCCTTTACCGTATCTCTTATAGTTTAAAAGTTATAACAATTTATAACTTGACAAATTATGTAACGGCTGTAATTTCATTATCATATAATATCTAAAAATGCTGTAAAAAATACAAAATTTTTTTTTCTATGTTTTGTTATGTATGGTTGTTTTTGTAATTTTTTGTAGTTTTTGAAAAAAATATAACGATTACTATTAATTTTTTATAACAAATTGTTAAGTTAATAAACAATGAAATTATTTATAAAAAAATGTATTTCTTTGTTAATCCGCTGAAAAGAGACAATGATGATTTTTAAGAAAAAAATAATTTCTTAACTAATTATTTAAACAATTGAAATATGAAAAAAACGATTTTAAACAATTAAAACACCTATTTAAGAAAAAAATTTTTTTTTACGAAAAACGAAATCATTATTTCACCTATACACTAAGACGGTAATTTTTTTTTTAAAAAAAAAAACCCAAAATAGTCTATTTGTTTATAAACAATTTCTTAACAAATAGCGTAATTTTTTTTTTTTAAATGTTAATTAATACCTATGGTAGATGCAAAAACAGCAATATTAAGATATTACGGAAAAAAACTATTTTTCATAACATTTTTTAGAAATTTAATTTTTTGTTAATTAAAAAAAATTATAATTATCAAAATAATAAAGATTAAAATATTTTTCGTGTATCTCAGGAATGTGGACAAGATAGGACTATTATAACAAATTACATTATTATTTTAGCAACGTTTCGGTCTTTTATTAGACCTTCATCAGGCATCTGAAAATTACACATAATTGATAACCTACAATACAAAAAACAACAATTGCCCAAACTACCATATTTACCATAATATGAATTTAAATAATCTATATCATACACTGCACAATTGTCTCAGACATCAGAGACTAATACAAATCTACAAAGCCACTAAATTATTTAATTACTATTTTTTGATTCCGGAAACAAAGCCAACACGACACATAAAATTGCTAATTGCGTGACAAAGGTTAGCCCACTATTGAAACTTCAGTACATAGACTATACTTTACAATATTTTATACTAGCGCAAACCTNTATTTGAATATAATCGTCTCCTTCAAAGAATACGGTTCAAAACCTACATTAAATAAAGGTTAATAGTTAACCTGTTATTTATCTAAGATGTCGTTCCGAAGAGTTTTGTGACTGCCAATGGAATACAAAGTCAATAATTCGTTTTTCTGATTTACCAATCATTGTCCAAAAGTCAGATTGCCGCCTTTGATAATAGTCGACTCAAGTATCGATATATAATTAAAATTGTGCTCTCCACAAATAAACGAAAAGAGATTATAAGAAATCGCCTCGGGGCAGGTAAAGTAATTTTGGGTTATTTTAACCCACGCCGTGTTCCGTGTAGGAGTAATGTCCAGTCGTTATGAGATTTCGTAGGCGTGTACGTCGTAACGGTAGCGCTGCTTTTGTTCTCGAAATAACATCTGAGCGTCGGTCACGAATCTAGGATAATCCCTTCAAAACGTGCGGTGTGCTTTGTTCCTTACGTTCGCTACGAAATCACGAGCCGCAATTAGCTACAAGTACACACGAAATAACTTCGAAGTGCAACGAACTTACAATAGTACGTTGTGCACCAAGGAAGAAAAGTTGGACATTTCTTGAATAAGAACTGTCTGATGAACTCATCTTTGTTTAATACTTCACAATTAAATTTTATTGCCTTTTGTTTATTTCACTTTTACACTAAACACAATATTGCAAATTACCCGAGCACAACAATGGCGGAGAATTTTAGGTGCGTGAGAGCAGACGTAGACACTAACGCGCATGCGCACTTGTTCCCAGGAAGAAAAAGTTACACTTTCTTCCCTGTACAGCGGGAGGAAAAGTTAGACTTTCTTCCCTGTACAGCGGGACGAAAACCGCACTTTCGGCGTAGGTAGGAGAAAAAATGCTCTTGATTCAACGGTACGGAATGAGGTCTTTAATTACAATGAAACAGGTTTCAAACTTTACGGTGCTAAGCGGTTATAATAGTCATTAGATATGGCAATGTGAAAACATTAGGTCCAGGTCACGACGTTACCAACAGAACGAATACAAGATTACTTTCGTTGGTAAAAAAATGCAGATACGCGACCCGGGTTCCATTTCTTTGTATTGTATAACTCCAATAATAGTTATATTTAGTTGATTTATTAATTTACATTCTTGGTCCTTTAGGTTCGTCATTAAACTGTTATAAGGCTTTCAGATCTTCTAGCCAATTGTCCAAAACACTGACCATTCTATAGCTGTTAAAAGTCATAATAATATTTTGCTTGTTTTCATTGCAATTAACACATATAATAAGAAATGCTTTGAGATTTATAAAAATGTACATATTCAGGGTTGTGTTTTTATTCGTGATCTATATAATTAGCATGTAAGTTTTTTTATTTCATTGAATTGGCTCTTTTAGTATGACAAACAGAAATTGAGTCGCGCGCGAATATTTTGTGTTGTTTTTTTTAGTGTGTTTTCAAACATATTACACCGTTCTCAATAGCTCACAATAATAAACCGCATCGGAAATATGCTTAGGTCTTATCAAATGACATATAAATTGCACTTCACGCTTGAAAGATCTAAACTGGGAATACTTTTTTTATTTTTTTATTGCTTAGATGAATGGACGAGCTCACAGCCCACCTGGTGTTAAGTGGTTACTACGGCCTATAGACATCTACAAAGTAAATGCGCCACCCACCTTGAGATATAAGTTCTAAGGTCTCAAGTATAGTTACAACGGCTGCCTCACCCTTCAAACCGAAACGCATTACTGCTTCACGGCAGAAATAGGCAGGGTGGTGGTACCTACCCGCGCGGACTCACAAGAGCTCCTACCACCATTAATTACGCAAATTATAATTTTGCGGGTTTCATTTTTATTACACGATGTTATTCCTTCACCGTGGAGGTCAATCTTACTTAGTGTCTATATTACATGAATTACAGTAATGACGACGGTGTAACTCCGGTACACATAGCGGCGATATGGGGCCGCGTCGACAACCTGAAACTCTTGCTCGGCTGCGGAGGAGATCCCTACGTACGGGACCTAGACGGGCTGACTGCCTTTGACTACGCTGCCAGAGAACAGCAGTGGAATGTATTTGACTACCTACAGAATGTAGTGGACGAATCCAATGACGTGAGCACTGGTTGCGGGTACACTATGGACTTGGGTAAGTTTTATATTTGAGTCGTCTATTATCAAAGGTGGCAATCTGTGCATTTGGACAAAAAAATGTTATTGATATGTCAATACAGATTGATTTGAATATAATCGTTTCCTTCAAAGAATACGGTTCAAAACCTGCATTAAATAAAGGTTAATAGTTAACCTGTTATTTATCTAAGATGTCGTTCAGAAGAGTGTTGTGTCTGCCAATGGAATACAAAGTCAATAATTCGTTTTTCTGATTTACTAATAATTGTCCAAAAGTCACATTGCCGGCTTTGATAATAGTCGACTCATTTGTTATATGAGAATGCTTAATGTTTTTTTTTTCTTTTTACTGATAGCGTGGCCTATCGTGCGTCTGCATAAGTAAATACGTAATAAATATGAATTTACTGGTGGTAGGACCTCTTGTGAGTCCGCGCGAGTAGGTACCACCACCCTGCCTATTTCTTGAAGCAGTAATGCGTTTCGGGTTGAAGGGTGGGGCAGCCGTTGTAACTAACCATACTGAGGGCTTAGAACTTATATCTCAAGATGGGTGGCGCATTTCGGTTGTAGATGTCTATGGGCTCCAGTAACCACTTAACACCAGGTGACCTGTGAGCTCGTCCACCCATCTAAGCAATCTAGTAAGGATATCGGGTCTTAGATGATCATAGTTTGTGGTATAGACCAACCACCAGCTCATCTCGACCCGTTGTTGTAGAAGACGACAAAGAGATCCACGGAAGAACGGACAGCATTACCCTCCGAATATTCTACGGGTATGCTAGCTGGTATTTAATTCAAGAAAAAAATATGCATTCTGCTTTGAAGCTAAACACAGTCGTTATTCCAATAGCAATAGAATTGAGATTTCGCGTAGTGTTATTTATGTCTCTCACTGACTACTCGACACCAACTGACAGCACATGTAGCTAATAAATCTATATATTAATACGTGAAGCAAAAACTTTTTATCTCTTTTTACGAAAATTGCGCGGACGGAGGAGTATGAAATTTTCCACACTTATAGAGAATATAGAGAAGAAGTGCACAATGCTAATATTTTTTTTAAATAATGCATAAAAGATACATTAAATCAATAAAGAAAACATTACACAGACTACATACCATGTATTTGACGCACACACGCATGCATACTATTTATTGTCAAACTTTTGTTATTGGCGTCTGTTGTCAAATTGAGAATAGATTAAATATTGTTTGTCTTTGTTAATATTTTTTATAGTGTAGTCTTGGCGAAATTTGTGATTAGAGAAGTATAAAATACAATCATAATAGTGTACAAGCTTACAATTCCAATTAATTATAGTCGAATTTCGACTACTGCGGGACCTCTAGTAATAGTAAAAACATAATTTTAATACGCTAGCAAATGGAATCGTGACTCGATACAATTAAAACCACCTCTACTGTTTAAGTTAGAAAATTCAACAGTAGTTATCACAATATTCAATAGTCCACGAATAGCAGGCAACATCTTAGTTGTCCATAGGTACACATGAAAACTGTGAAGTATTCTAAAGGTCGGAAATAATGAAAAAAAAATGGGAGATTAAATCGTAAAAGTAGTTTTTAATTAAAAACAGTATGTTTTATAGTTGAATAGTTAGTCATAACTATCAGTATACCGGTCTTTGCTCCGTGATTTTATTAAACTCAAACATTTCACATTTCGACCCATACCCAAGGTTTCTGTCAAAGAAACTAGACGTTCAATGGTGGTATCACTCACTCATTCATTCATTCATTCATTCATTCACTCACTCACTCACTCACTCACTCACTCGTCACTCACTCACTCACTCACTCACTCACTCACTCACTCACTCACTCACTCACTCACGAGTATAGTAAGGGCACGCAATAAGAATCACGATTCCGAACCAACTTAAAAAGGCATTCCTGTACGGTGTGATTGGTACACGATCACAATTTCGTTTTTTTTTTTGGGGTTGCGTGATTTGAACGATCAAATCGTTTTGGAAGGTAATAACATAGAAACTATTGGCATCAAATTTATGTCTTGATTGTCTTTCCATCTCGTAATCCGACGTTCGATGGTCGCTCAGTTTCCTTATTGAAAACATTAGGTGTTTTATAGATTGGATATAATTTGTTCTTTTATTCATATATCGAGGTGTGATAGGCTATATTTGGTTTAAACGACATTTATCTTTGTGACTAAAGTGCCGTTTTATTTGGTATTAGCATCAACAGATCGATGTTTTAATTGAACTTCAATGAAGTTTACCTCATTCAAATATGTAGTTGAAAAAGTTTTTTTTGGTCGAGATAAATTTTTTTAATTAGAAGCTGCAAAAATGTCGCTTATACCACATAGCCTCTCATCTCTCGATGTAAATATGCGTTAATACTGGTGTTAAGACGTGCCGGATATTAAGTATTGGACTCTGCCTCTCGCGATGGCGACATTGTAATGTCTATAGTGACAGTAATACCGACCGACCGACTGACGTGTAATGTTTATAGCAAGCAAGCCGTTACATACACGTCATTTCGGATCCTCCGAATATCCTAACAGTGCTTTTAGGCACCTCAAGCACTGATCACCGATCTCGTCAATTCCGTCGAGAACGGCTACAAAGAGCTAGGCGAGCAAATTAACACAACACAGCCAACTGAGCTTCTCGCCGGATCTTCTCAGTGGGTCGCATTTCAGATCCGGTCGTAGATTCTGAGAAGCACTGCTCTTGCTAAGGCCAGTGTTAGCAACACTTCGGTTTGAGCCCCGAGAGCTTACCTATACGCTAAGGTGAAGCTGAAATAGCCTCTCAAGGCTATCAGCATAGGTAGAAAAAAAAAGAAAAAAAAAACAAGCATACAATATATTTGTTTAGTTGGTAACGTTGGTAAAACACACACTCAAGTGTATACCAAATTAAGGTCAAAACGACGTGACATTTGTTATCGATTACTTTGTCATTTTAAATTCGATTCAGAATATATAATTAATCTTAGCAGCTCTTGAGAATTTGGTAGGGGGATTGTGATCATTGGTAGGGGAAAAAATGCGCAATAAATAAACAACATAAACACAGCTGAGTTGTTTTTTACTACTCTGTTTATCTTTTCCTTTTGGACGAACGTTGAATATGACTTAAATGACCTATTTGCCCTCCCTTAACTAATCTCAAATTATCAAACATTTTTCAATGCAGTTACCAAGAAAAACATAATTGAATTGAACTTTTATTATCACGCAGTGGCTCGCGTTAACCTCTGATCTTCGATACGGGCAGCTGACAATGTTCATTGTACAGGCCGAGTGAATTATATGACAAATGAAGAATGCATTGCATGTCAATCATTCCTTCTTTGAACATTGAGTAACTTCAAAAGCATTCTATAAAATGTCCACAATGCGTATTCGTAACTCGCGTATAAATCTATACATATAAAAATGAATTGTTGTTCGTTAGTCTCGCTAATACTCGAGAACGGCTAGACGGATTTGCCTAATTTTGGTTTTGAATTATTTGTGGAAGTCCAGAAAAAGTTTAAAAGGTAGATAAATATGAAAATGCTCGGAATTAAATAAAAATAACAATTTTGTTTTCCCTTTGATGTGTCCGTCTGTTCGTCGGACGGATTCATTTTGTTTGTTTTAAGTTTATACAAAAGTTTAAGTCTTTTATTTATCGATTGAAGCACTACGAAGTCTGCCGGGTCAGCTAGTAATAAATAAAATTCAATTCAAAACATTATATGTTTGTTGTAAAATGTATATTCATTTTCAAAGACAATAGCTTTGTACAAATTACGCCATTGGAATGTGAATCAAATCAATAATATTCCGTGAACTTTCAACGGTCATCAGTTCCATTTATTAGATTATCGTTCGTAATCGAACCCTGAAATACGTTGGATAACTTAGAATTACTGTATTTGAACACAAAATAAAAAAAAAAACTTAAAAGTAGCTCTCGTAACGTCTCTACCCCTGGCATTGCTGAGCGTTCATGAGCTACAGTAACCAGTCACCACCTGATGGGCCGTAAAGGGCAATAAAATATGTGGTTTTTATGTTTAATCGTTTTTTAGTTGTCAAGTCAGTTTTACTGGTGGTTAGGCGTTTTGTGAGATCCCGCGTAGGTTTCACCTACCTGCCCACATCTACTGAAGAAGTAGTAGCACGTGTCGAACGTCAAGTTAAGCTAGCATAACCCTTCGAGGCTACTAGAAATAGTTAGGCAAAAAAATACGGGTCGGTTCAAAGATTGGTACTAGGATATTCTTGGGATATTGAGATGGGCAGTGGAATAAAAAAGTTTTTGATATGAAACATCATAGCCGCACCTAAAATCGATTGCTGGCGTGGCGACGCATGCAGTGGCGACGCATGCCGTGGCGATGCGTCGCCGCTCTATATAGTACGAGCAGTATATATAAATAATCAATCTATATGTAGAAGTGTATACGTATATAGTGGATGTGTGTATACTGGTGTGCCGACGCATTGCTATGTGCAAGCGTCTGTTTCTTAATATAAATTTTTCATTTTTCATTAACATTAATACATGTATTTCCTATCGCACACTACCCTTATATGCATCTATTCTATACAAAATAATATCAATGTTTCAAATCTATCATCTATTTTATTACGTGCTACTATGTTCATTACATAATACTATGCTCATCAATGTTATTGTCGTGTATTTACAAATTTACATTGTCCAATTCTAGAACGAATTCTGGTTACGACAGACAATATGGTGGCTGAATACGAACCGATAACTGACGAACAAATGCAAAACAAGACGTACAGAAAATCCGACATGATCCGTCAGTGGTTCGACGATAACAGTTTGGTTATAAACAAACTGTACCCGACTATATTAGGCGAAACGTACCTCATAGACGACTTCCAAAGTATCACGTTGGACCTGACCGAATCGCACGACACGAACAATACGTTCAGGACTTGCCGATCGAATGGGGACGTGGAAATAAGCGGCGTTAAACCTCTAGATTGTACCGTTGACAAAACAGGAGATCCCAGGAAGCAGAGGTTGAGCGTTTTCGAAAACTTCTCGCTCCCCGGATCCCCAAACAACATAACGCATATGAATTACAATACGAAATCGTCTTTAAAGAAATCAAAAACGATCGAAACAAAAGAGATTCCGAGAGATGACCGCGAACTCGATAAAGCTATGGCGGTCGTACAGAATCGGACAAACGAATTTCTGTCTTCGACTAATGTAGATAGAGTATGTAATACAAGGAGATCGTCTAACAGCAGCGGAGTGAGCAGTAATTATTCTGGTGGCAGCATTACTATAGCTAGTTTCCACGAGGAATATAAGTATGAGGATAAAGAAGAAGATATAGTGCTCGTTGAGAAGAGACTGCGAGTTTCGCCTATTGTGTGAGTATTCTATTGCTTAAGAGACATTTTTGCACATTACAGGAAAGCCATTTAAAATTTGAAAAAAATATCATAACAAAACGTCTTCAGCTCCTTGAATAAGGTAAACTTATTGCAATTCAATTAAAAACATCGAATTGTTGATACTAATACCAAATAAAACGGACCTTTAATTGCAAAGATAAATGTCGCGTGTTAAGCAAAATGTCGCATGAAAAAAATAGTCTTTCAACCTTTCAAAGATTTAGAAGCATTGATGAAGGCATTCTGTTCAATTATTTGAAATGTTTTTCTCGCTAATTGTCTTATATAGCTCTTCTACTTAAATGGCTCACGAAACAGACTATAGAGACGTGGCGACGGATATGTGAATTTGCTACACAATGGATTGTTAAATGGAATTTCCTAATTCCAAAAACTGTTCGGTGTTTACATAATAATAGTTTTAGGGGAATACGACAAAAGGTAGATCTTCTACGGAGCGACCGAAGTTGCTCGGTAGATTGACGTGCCGAATGTATACATTATGTAAACTAATCTTGAAAATGTCTTAGTACGGATCTTCCCGGTCCATTAGCGGTGTTTTTAGGTATCTTAAGCACCGGTCACCGTCCTCGTCGAACCCGACGCCTGCGACGAAGGGCTCAATGTGTAAATTAACCCATAGACAAAGCCCACTGAGTTTCTCGCCGAATCTTCTGAGTGGGTCGCGTCTCCGATCCGGTAGTAGATTCTGCGAAGCACTGCTTTTACTAGGGCTAGTGTTAGCAACACTCTCGGTTTGAGTGCCGTGAGCTCACCTACACCTACGTTGGGGCGAAACTGAAAAGCAAAAAATACCCAAAACGTAAAAAATATCCCACAGCTTACCCCTGGAAGAGACAGTGGAATCGATTGACCAAACAGCAGTTTCGGTGGCATCTTCCCTACCGACCACGGTACAGTACGATAATAACACTCTGAGAGCGGAACTGTTGAAGTTAGGCTTCTCGCCGGGTCCCATACAGGATTCAACAAGGACTCTTTATCTAAAGAAATTGCAAGCCTTGAAGAAAACCCCAGTGGTCGTGAACAGCCAGGGCAAAAGTGAGTATTAAACTGAAAAGCAAACCCAAAAAGTTTTTATTGAATATTAAAAAAAAAATTGTAAATTAAATGTCATCATTTTGAAAATGTCAGTTTTTAGGTTATGTTTACATGTCTTGTATATATTTAAAAATTTACAATGATATTTACAAAATGCAAATATTTAATGAAAATTCCTAAAGTCTACCAAACTTGTAATCTTTCGAATGTTCCATTTAGGAATAACCAAATTGCCTTTAAAGGTATTACATAAAAATATTAATACAAAGTTATTGGCATGTATTGGTTGCTTGAAAATGTTCTTTATTCCCGCAGCGTACAGTGTAGAATTAGAAAAATCTCTACGTAACGCTGATTGGATGCTGAATCTCCAACAGTATGTTGAGTTGGAAAGCAAAGCGCGCGCCGATTTCGCCAATCCCAATAAAAAATGGCGAGAAGGCACGGCGAAGACTTCATTCACGTATCTTCTCTTGGATCCGCGACTCACGCACAATCTCCCGGAGAGAGCCAGCAAACAAAACCAACATGTCTCTTGGGTCACTTTTGTAAACTCCATATTTTACGTCGGGAAAGGTATTTGCATAATTAACTATTATTTATTTTTCATTTTTTACTTGAATATCAATTTTTTTAATATATTTTTTTAATATTGAATTGTCATCGGTCCTTAATAAGTTTACCAAATTTCAAGTTAATCCGACGTTTGGAAGGGGGTCAAAATCATGTTCAAAGATTCCATTACATACTAACATACATACGTCTGAAGGAAATAAAAGCGTATTAAAATCGGTGGAGGTACGTCGTACCTGAAGGTACGCAGCAGACTCCGGCGACCACGCCAAACTAGATCAACGTAACGTCACATAACAAATGTCTCCTTATTTCAGGTAAACGTTCTCGGCCCTATTCTCACCTATACCAAGCGCTGACCCTGTGGAAGCGCGACTTCAAAACGTCTAAAGACAAGAAAGTTCAGCAAATCCTCGACATATGGTCGGATAAGGTGGGCGTAGTTTGTCTTCACATATTTCAGAACGTCATACCGGCCGAAGCGTACACGTACGAAGCGGCCATGATCGATGTGCTCGGAATAAATAATATTAAGAATTTGAAGGCTGGCAACTATTACGGTGTTGCCGCCTCGTGGCCGTTGAAAGAGAGAAGGCTGCTCGGTTTGTACTTATTGTACAAGGCCATGCTGATCTTCCTTAGCGAGGGCGAAAGACAATTAAGGCCTGATGATATAGACTGAAATATTTATTTATTATATTATGTATGTAATAAATTTTTTTTTATAAACTGACATGTCATAAAGAAGAAAATATCCATTCGCGGAAACAAAACGAAACTAACCAAAATTTCACAATCTAGGTGAGGTCGGTAAATGCCGCCACACACCTTGAGATATGGGTTCTAAGGTCTCAATATATTTTGTTACGCCTTAGTTGGAAACGCCTTACTGCTTCACGGCAGAAATAGGCAGGGTGGTGGTACCTACCCGCGTGGATTCACAAGAGGTCCTACCACAAGCAAAATTACATGTGCTAGGTTTTATATTTGAATTTTAAAAAATATATAGTGACAAAGGTTGTATAGCAAAAGAACGGGATTACAAAAAAAATCTACGTATATTTTAAATGATATCCTATTTCGTGGACGCGTAATGTATAGCAAACAAGATTCGGAATGAACACGAGAGATAATAGAGCACAGTCAATTAAACGACCACGATCAAGTACCCTGCACTTATTAACTACTAACAATATTGCCTACATTTATAGTTTAAAATAAAGAAACAAACGCTTTTATAGTAAATAGATAATAATAGACCACAGTAATAAAATCTTTGTATTGTCTTACTCCACTACAATTCATTGACACTTGAATTTTTATTTGCCATAGGTTGCGGGTTCACAAAATAAAAAAAAAACTAACTTTATACTCAAGTTAAAGTAGTAACCTTTCAGATTTTCAAAATAGTTACATTACGCTTAAAAATATCTATACAGTAGCAATCAAAAATAAATATAATAATATGTGTATATATATACATTGGTTGTGAAGTGTTCTTGCGAAACTAGAATGTAAATAATTTTTTATTAATTTGTACATTAAGTACTTCTCAAACGATTATTTCTACGTGTCTACGTGCATGTGTATTTATGTGATTTGGCTTTGTTTTTTTTTTATATATGTACCTAGTAATGTAAAATTTAGATCTCTTATTAAACCAAATTAAAATTTCGAAATGCTACTTACATTTTGAGCCCGTAATAATTGCTTACTTTTGGTTTTGATTTTTTTTAGGGTGACTATATTTTTATTATAGAAATTGTATGTAGTTAGTTTAATATTTTTTTGCAAGCCTTGCAATGTTACGTTTGTAACCAGCTTAAAATGCGCTACTATGTATATACATACTAAGCTTAAAAAATGTCCTAATGTATTATTATTTTTCGAAAACCTTGCAATGAATTTTAATTGAAAGTTTTAACTAAAAAAATGAAATTACTTAACTTGACACATCTTCGTATAATTAAGTACCTGGGCACTAACATCAATTTTAAAACTAAATAATACGACCAAAGACTTTATTTCTAAGTATTAACCCTTGACAAAAATAATATAATTAAAGTTTACCACGTCCTCAGTATTGTCCACTAATTCTAAGCTTTAACATTTTGTATTTTTCTATTTATTAAACGTGTTTTTTACTTTGTAATTATTCGAGTTATTTATGCACGTATTCTATTTTGTATGCACTGTTTAAAAATCTGATTCTATATTTGAAGAATAAGAAAAGAATTAAAATAAGTGCTTCCATAAATACGAAATATTGTGTATGTTAAAATTACAATGTAGATGAGTAGGTATTCGTGAAATTTGTGAAACATTCTTTATCAAAATATGTTCCTATTTTTTGTATCATCACAATTTTTTGTCGCATTGTATTTGTAATTAAAATCGCATCGAATTGGGATTAGTTTACCGTTTTCGGGAAACAGCCTATCATTATACCGATCACGATGTGTTTTACATTTTATTGTTCATTAATTTTTTTTATACTAAACTGTCATAGCTTCTGTGACGTCACGTGTTGCGAAAAAAATCCTACTTCTAGATACATTTTAAGTTTTAAAAGTAAAATTTAAGGATAAATATGTTTCGTAAAACGTTGGCTGATGGGCTCTGGCAAATATATATTTATATTTTATGTATTGACAATATGAAATAAGTTTGTATTTGTAAATTGGATTTATTCAAACCAGTCATAGAATTTTTTTATCAAGTTTTTCATAATACATTTTTAGCCTTACTCTTAATTATGAAAGTAAAATAAAACACATTTTTTTTAAGAAATAATGTTACTTTTATTATTCCTTTTTTTCCAACGTCTCGAATTCTTTTCTAATAAAAATCAAACTTGGCTTTATAGTTACATCAAAAAAATAATAATACACAAATGTCCATACAAATTACATTTATAAATACAATGATGTTACACACATCAGACACTGGTAAGTCGAACCATAGGAAAGCGTAATTTGCGTCGCGTGAGGATTAAAATAAAAACTCAGTCTATGCATCCGTACAATGTCGAGCGTTTTTGAGATCAACCCGTCTCTCAATCTAATTAAACACTCACTCTTCAAACAATCATAGAAAGGAACTTAGTACTGTAAGTTTAAAGTCGAATTTGAATTTCTCAGATCGTGCTATTAAAAGAGGAAAAGCGTAAAATCGTCTGAAATCATGTTTTCATTTCGCGTTCCAATGCTTCTTTTATTGAAGATTTGCAAACAATTTGGATGTAGATTTTTCGTCAACAGAACATTATATCAATTATTTTGAACATTACCTGAAGTATAAGGTAGGCGTAAGCCATCATTAACAACTATTTTATATTCATTCAAAGTGAAAATTTATTATTTCATTATATTTGAGTTGACAACTCTTGTATCCAATATTAGTTGAAAAAAGAAAAAGTGTTTTACAGATATATAACAAGAAAACAAGAGTCCTGTCTAAAAATAATAAGTACCTATTTTATAAAATGAGCAATTTTGAAACAAATCAATAAAAGTTGACATTTGATTCGACATTTTGAAATAAGCGGCTTGAAAGCTTTTAAATCCCAAAACACAATTCTTTTCAACTAACATTTGAAGCAGATTTAAAATTAAAGATGACTGTACGCCCACTTTTGATGACAAATGTTCGCATACAGTTTGCAAATAATCTCATTAGTATCAAACAGTGTTGTAAAAATGTTTATCTATACAACTGAGACAATTCGGTACAGACAAGATTCACTAAGTGGATATGTTCAAGTTTAGCTAATTAATACAGTTTTAATTAAAGAAACTTCGAAGCCACACATTGCCTATTAAAAACAAAATCATAAGATCTAAATTATTTTAAAAGAAACTAATATTTCATAAGTCCTTACTTTGCGGAATCAAATATAGATAAAATAATCTACTAAAATATGGAACGAAATTTACAACATTGTTTGGAAGCAATTAAATGTGTAACACAATATACAATATTGGCCTTTTACAACAGTCTTTTTTTCTATTTTAAACATTAAGTAGGTATCGACTAAGAATTATTATAACAAGAAAATTAACGATCACTGGTTCTTTACGGAACTGTCGCTTGCATCAACTCGTTTAGGCCCCGAATTCTCTACGAAACATTGTTTTAATACACAAGGAAACAGGTACGCGCGTACGTTGACTAAAATGTCATGAAAATAATACCATTATTTAACTACAATAGGTCAATCTCTATGATAATGTCTACTAAATTGAAGTGTGACAGAGGGCCGCAACATTAGCCGACACACTCGATTATAACACTTCAGACACGTAACATTGCGTACAATTTAAAGTAATAATCAATTATGAAAATTATTCACGTGAACACACAGGATCTTTCAAACGAACCAATTGGAAGACTAGGGAGGGAAACGTCAGCCCAACGGCGCTGCGGGGAGACTTAATTTAATACACAGTAACGTCCAACATAATGCTCTAGAACATCGCTTCTCAACCAAAGTGCAGTAGTAGAAAGACATATGCGAAACGAATGAACTTTATTTAAATTATCACCAAAAATATAAGTGAGCTCATTTACATTTATGATGTGACTGAAATGCGTCCTCAGAAGTTCTTCAAGAGTCGCCCAAAATTTTTTTGGAGTATTTTAAATGAACCATACCGTTTCTCATTAAGCGTTACCATTCATAAATGAGGATCGGAGGTAATTGTATATAGTAATAAAAAAAAATTGTTTAGGTTGGAAACCATAGATATTTTTTAATATAATTATATATACTGTGGGAACAGTCCGGCCTCTTTCAGACGTGACGTCACGAGCACTTGTATGCATGTTGAAACGCATGAATTTGAAGAAAAAACTACAATATAATTTAAAAATAGATTCGTCTTAAATTTTATTTAAAATTTTTGAACAAAATAATTTAATATTTCGTTTTGTACTTATTAAACGAAACCAATATATTAATGGGTTTTCTTAGTGCAGTTTTTTACTCAAATTCTATAGCTCAATGGTTGAGAAGCAACGCTCGTCAATAGTACCATTAAATGCGTTTAAGTGCAATTGTGTGGTACACAAACAGAAACCGGATTTAGTATCAGAGAATATCGGACTATGAGATTAATTAATTTTTTTTTTACATTAACTTTTAAAAGCCAGACAGACAAACACACGCACAGCGATGTCCAAACACTCCACAAATCTATAGGATGCTCTCTACGATACATTGAATGATTCCTCACTATCAGACATAATACGATTTGTGCACGCTACGTTCATATTATTACGATCACATTGACGCTCTCACGGTGCACTATCATTACCTAAACATTAATCGATATTTAATTTTTTATAAACTACGTTCGCTCTCGTCTCTGTGGAATGCTGTATTCATAAATAAAGGTATCGTCCGTGTTCACTTCGATTCGGTCCTTCGGGGGGGCTTCAATCTTCAGTACGACGCCCGGCGTGGAGAACAAACCCTTCGACGTTTTATATTACATTAAATTATTAACGGAACGTTAATTATTATCGTCGGCTAATTTACACATAACACTAATATATACAAGTACTAGTTTGTGCTTCCACTAGTGAAGGTTCATTCGGGGGGGGCGCTCGGCCGGTCCTCGCCTCGCGTCCCCTCGCACTCGGTCCCTATCGCGGGTAACTATCCCGAAACATTCTAGAACATTCAAAGCGCACATCACATACACATATCCGTGGGTCACTCGAGATCATTGTTTCAATTATCCGACAAATTGTTCTCGGTTAAGTTCACTACGCGGTCGCGTCACTGCCGCGTCAGTTCGGAGCGGAGGGCGGGCGGGGGGTGACGCGGGGCGGCGTCTCTGGGAAGGCTCCATTGTTTGCGCGGCCCCTCGTTTCATTTGGGCGGCGTCGGAAACGAGTTGACCACGGCCTGCGTGCTCGCCAACACCGCCGCCGCTGCAACACACAATCTTCGGTTACTCTCAGTGCGGCGTCCTACCTACGCGGCGCGAGGACTGCTATCGAGCGCCTGCAACCCAACACACTACAGATTACGACACACGTTGCGACCACCACAGACGATATCGAAACATTTAAATTTAAATCTACAAAGCGAAACCAAACATTTTCGCATTAAAACATAAAAGTTTATTACGAATACTCTATTTACTTATTTGGTATAATCATAACAATAATAATCAAGATTTTAAGGGCGGAATTCGTAAAAAAATCCCTCCTGATTGCACCTTTTTATTTTCCTACCTATACTAGTAACCTCGAGGGGTTATTCTAGATTCACCGAACTAGTAGATGAGCTCGCGGGGCTCAAACCGGGAGTTTTACTAACACTGACAAGAGCAGTGCTTCGCAGAATCTACCACCGGATCGGAAACGCGACCCACTGAGAAGATCCAGCTAGAAACTCAGTGGGCTGTGTCTATGGGTTAATTTACTCATCGAGCACTTCGTCGCAAGCACGGGTTCGGCAAGGACAGTGACCTGTGCTTGAGGTACCTAAAAGCACCGTTAATGGATCGGGAGGATCCGTAATGACGTGTTTAGGGCGACGTCGACTGTTTAGCATTCGGTCCACCGGATCGGGTATGAGAATTGCACCACTAGGATAATCTTAAGAATATTAAATGGAAATTCGAGTGGTATAGATATGTACGTCCAATTAAAATCCCCACTAAATGAAAATGCTTTCCTTCTTTTTTTTCTACGCAGTTGGCCATACAGTCCACCTGTTGGTAAGTGGTTACCGTCGCTCGTGAGCCTCAACAACGCCAGGGGCACAGGCAAGTCCCTGCCTATCGTATCGACAAATTTAAACTAATAATTCGTATAATTTTAAGAACCGTGGAATTCCAAACACACTTCAGTTGAGAATTAACATATTACCCTCATATTACCTAAATTAATTATTTTTTGCGTAATTTTTTTAAAAATGTTAACACGTAACATATTTTATTTTTATGAATCGTGCAATACAAAACAGTTCTCAGTTGAAAATTAACATAATATTACCCTCGTATTGAATATAGTACAATGACCTCTTTACCTACTGACACTGGTCACAAACGTTTTTGTATTAAGTGCGGTTTACATAAAATGTTTGAACAAGAAAAACAATTTAGTAACTTATTAAATAAATTATTGTTATTACAATAAATTATTTATTAAGATTTTATATTATAACAGGTATAAAAATCGAGTTACAATTACTAAATAGGCAGAAATAAAAAAAATTAAATTCAAAAATCACAATCCTATTCCTCTGTATCGGAGTTACTACTTTCCGACGACGTATCGCCAGTCATTTATTACAAAAGAATCAACAGTTTTGTCTAAATGATCATCTAGTCTACCTAATTTCTATATATTGACTGGTGCAATTTTGCCATTTTTCTGCTGAAATGTTGCCTAAAACCACCAGCTTTTTAACATCTGTCATCTTAAATGTTGTAATGGGCCTGACGCCCCTGACGCCTGCCCACACTATTTCGATCAGATTCAATTCACAGTGCTATGGGGGTAATCTCTATACCTCCACACCAACTGCTTTTGCTATCTCATCGACAACGTACGATTGGTATTGAGTTTTGACCCTCTTTCACAACATGCCAACATGCAGACAAGAACAAACTTTACCGTCTCAGATAAAAGGTTTACAATCCCCGAGGACGGCGGTCATTGCATCTGTGCGAGCGAGACTCATTATATTTACGCGGGAGTGACAAAGACAGGTAATAACAGGTTAAAGGCTTCGTCAAACAGAACGCGTAC